AAAGTCGCAGGGGTCGGCTGACCTCTGGCACCGGAGGGCTGTAGAATACCGTGGTACCGACTCTTCAGTCCAGAGATGTCTCGGGTCACAACAGCTGGATGGAACCGTACGTCTGGCGGACTCTTTAGGAGTCTAATAATATCAGCTTTGTTTCTGCAGGAACGGTTTGCTCATCAGCTTTGCAGGTGCAAAAAGGTTTTGACGACATGTCAAAACCTTTGATGGTTAAAGAGGTTTTGCTACAGATGACCAGTCTGAGCAATTATCTAGAACTGTCGAATCACTCAGGATGATTCCGCTTTAAGGTTTAGATGTTATGATTTGCGCAGCCAATCAAAGGCTGACAAGTTTGAGATGTTACCAAAGACAACTCAGAAACACACCTTCTTGATACAGGATGTTCTGACTGGTTTAAAAGTCTCTATGTGTTGGAGTTTAACTTCACCTTACTTGTTATTGTGTGAGTGCAGGTGTGAGGACCTCGTCGTCAAAACATGTTGAACACATGGCAGGTTCTAATAGACATACATAACATCCATTCAGTGAGCACAGATTAATGAAGCATTTCATTATACTATAATTATTATAAGTAGTAATAAACAAATGTTTATTTAATGATTATCTAGATTATAAGTCATGGAAGAAGTTCATGTTGATTTAGGAAATCATTCTTGAATTTAGCTATTGATTCGAGCTGGAGGTGTTCCTTCTGTGGAGGCAGACAGATGGGACCTTAGGAAACAAAGTTATTGTTTATCTTTCAGACATGCAGAGTCTGTGAGCTGGTATGAAGGCAGGCTCATTTAAAGGGAACACATGCAATGTTGTATCTCCTTTCTGACCAGATATTGAATAGATGTTGAAAGGTCAGACTGTACCTAAACTGACCATTGCTGGACGTTACACATGCATTTAGCAAGGATGATGTGATGAAAAAAAAAAAAGATACAGTGGGGCAAAAAAGTATTTAGTCAGCCACCGATTGTGCAAGTTCTCCCACTTAAAATGATGACAGAGGTCAGTAATTTACATCATAGGTACACTTCAACTGTAGGAGACAGAAATCCATGAATTGACATGGCAGGATTTTTAAAGAATTTATTTGTAAATCAGGGTGGAAAATAAGTATTTGGTCACTTCAAACAAGGAAAATCTCTGGCTCTCACAGACCTGTAACATCTTCTTTAAGAAGCTTTTCTGTCCTCCACTCGTTACCTGTATTAATGGCACCTGTTTGAACTCATTATCTGTATAAAAGACACCTGTCTACAGCCTCAAACAGTCAGACTCCAAACTCCACTATGGCCAAGAGCAAAGAGCTTTCGAAGGACACCAGGAAAAGAATTGTAGACCTGCACCAGACTGGGAAGAATGAATCTACAACAGGCAAGCAGCTTGGTGTGAAAAAAATCACCTGTGGGAGCAATTATCAGAAAATGGAAGACATACAAGTCCACTGATAATCTCCCTCGATCTGGGGCTCCACGCAAGATCTCATCCCGTGAGGTCAAAATGATCATGAGAACGGTGAGCAAGAATCCCAGAACCACACGGGGGACCTGGTGAATGACCTGCAGAGAGCTGGGACCAAGGTAACAAAGGTCACCATCAGTAACACACTACAACGGCAGGGAATCAAATCCTGCAGTGCCAGACGTGTTCCGCTGCTGAAGCCAGTGCATGTCCAGGCCCGTCTGAAGTTTGCCAGAGAGCGCATGGATGATACAGCAGAGGAGTGGGAGAATGTCATGTGGTCAGATGAAACCAAAGTAGAACTTTTTGGTACAAACTCAACTCGTCGTGTTTGGAGGAAGAATACTGAGTTGCATCCCAAGAACACCATATCTACTGTGAAGCATGGGGGTGGGAACATCATGCTTTGGGGCTGTTTTTCTGCTAAGGGGACAGGACGACTGATCCGTGTTAAGGACAGAATGAATGGGGCCATGTATCGTGAGATTCTGAGCCAAAACCTCCTTCCATCAGTGAGAGCTTTGAAGATGAAACATGGCTGGGTCTTCCAACACGACAATGATCCCAAACACACCGCCCGGGCAACAAAGGAGTGGCTCCGTAAGAAGCATTTGAAAGTCCTGGAGTGGCCTAGCCAGTCTCCAGACCTCAACCTCATAGAAAATCTGTGGAGGGAGTTGAAAGTCCGTGTTGCTCGGCGACAGCCCCAAAACATCACTGCTCTCGAGAAGATCTGCATGGAGGAATGGGCCAAAATACCAGCTACTGTGTGTGCAAACCTGGTAAAGACCTATAGTAATCGTTTGAACTCTGTTATTGCCAACAAAGGTTATGTTACAAAGTACTGAGTTGAATTTTTGTTGTTGACCAAATACTTATTTTCCACCCTGATTTACAAATAAACTCTTTAAAAACTCTGCCATGTGAATTCATGGACTTTTTTTCACATTCTGTCTCTCACAGTTGAAGTGTACCTATGATGTAAATTACTGACCTCTGTCATCATTTTAAGTGGGAGAACTTGCACACTCGGTGGCTGACTAAAAACTTTTTTGCCCCACTGTATGTAAACTGCAGAAAGACTACAGCACCACCAAATCAAGGTAATACATTCTCCACCTTCAGTACAACCACACTTAGAGCACCTGACTACCTGGCAACTCAAAGCCAGCAATATTCACATAATGTAGCTCTTTGTATTTTCCAGATTATAAGAGATTGCATCTTAAATACTTTGTGTTTGCTGAATTTTTTGTTGTTTTCCTTTTCTACTTGTTCAGTTTTGTTTGGTTTTTCAATCAATCTTAACTTAAGGTTCTTAGTTTGAAGTTTTTAAATTAGAAATTAAAAATAATTGCAATGAACGGATCTGGGAGATTAATACCATCAGCACAACTGGTTGTGAAGCAATAATGCTAGCACAACCCCATCTAATGGGCATTTGTTTTTGCGCATACATGTAGTTTTCATTCATTTCATTGTTATTGAGGTGAGCTCCTCAATATGTCTTTTAGGCCATATCGCCAAGCCCTTATTTTATTAGTTCTATGGTTGATAAAAACATTTTTATGAAGTTCTTTGCACAAAATTCCTATCACATGAATTGATTTCAGCAGTTTTATTCTTGACAATTTCTGTACCTTCCAGAACAAAAAGTTTCAGGGCTCTGTCACTAAGAAAACAATTCGTTTCAGGCCACGCCCAACCACCTCTCATTCGGGCTGCTGTAAGCTGAGAAGCTCTGATCTCCAGGATGGACTCGGAGTAGAGATGCTTGTCCTCCAGCAGCAGCAGCTCTTGCTTGCATGGGAGATAGGGGTGAAACGGTTCACGGGGGTGTGTGTGTTGAACCATTCCGGTTCGGCTTGTTCGGATCAGTCCACTTGCGTACTGTTTTAGTTTATTTTTTCCATTAAACGATTAATTTTCATTTGCGTGATTTAAAGGTGCCTTAGGCAGTTTTGAAATTTTATGCTCGCTATTGCCCCCTCAGGCCAAAGGTGTAGCTGCAGCTTCAATAGTAGGCTCGTGCACGAGGCGCGCGTGCTATATGTGCACGCTCCCGAACAAAAACAGCTGCGTCAGCCCCGTACGGGTGTAATTTACAGGTTTGCCGGCATGACTTCGACAGAGGTAATAATTGTAAAATATTTAGACCAAATCAATTTGGGCTGCATATTTTCCAGGTTGTGATAGGTGCATGCACAGCAAAGTGAGTTGAGTGAGGAAGCATAATAATACCGATATATGAATACATTATGTATGATGTTGAAAAAAATACTAGTACACAAATTATGCATAAACGTAGGCCCTATTGTAATATTAAAATAATTGCACTGGTAGTTAATAAGCACTTTACTGGTTGCTACTTGACAAGTACAGGCCATTTACTAGAAAAAAAATCATGTGATGGACTGCTACTTTTTTTCTTTTACTAGAGTAAAAATACATAGAGGTACTGCTACTATAACTTGAGTGCACCTTTTGTGTACTCTACCCACCTCTGCTTTTCTTTTGCATCCAGGTAAAGATAGTCTTAGCAACATTATTTTCATCAAATGTAAATACACCATTACCTAAATGTTTTATGGATTATTACAGCGAAGCTTTTGTAAAACATGCATTCCATCACATCAACGTGTAAACCTTATTACTTTTCCTTCAAGGAATCCAGTGCATCTCATTACTCCGAAGTTTCTGAAGAGAGTAGTGATTCTGGAGGGGGCAGAGGGAGAGCAGGCAGAAGAGCAGGAAGAGGAGCAGGAAGAGGAACAAGGAGAGGAGCAGCCAGAGGGAGAAACATACAGGCCGGGGGAGAAGCCAGGCTAGAGGAAGAAGAGCTAGAGCTGGACGCATTAGTGAGGAAGACAGAGAACGGGTTGCTCAGATGTCTGCTGACAGAACTGCAGTTACAGGTTGGTCATAATGCAGAACACTAATACATTTCACAATCATAAAGTTTATAAAATAAATGCTGCCTTTCGTTTTCAGGCAGTTGCAACACCTAAGTATGGATGAAAAAGATGAAGTCCTTCAGATGGTTGTTAGACGTCTGCCAGGAGTGTTACTGGACATTATGGACTATAGACAGGCCACACCAGGACACCCTCCATCAAACCAGGGTCAGCCAGCTTGGTGCACCTGCTCCTACTGCCGAATGATGCCTACAGACCTGGAAAACAAGTGCTGTAGACAGGATCCAGAATGGTGTTTGAGCAGGCGTGCTCATTTTAACCTGTACTGCATGGATGAAGGCATCCTGCGTTTGGCTCGGCAGACGTGGAATGACATTTTGGCTCTGCGTGATAGCCAAGACCCTGGATCAGATAATCGGGAGTACTGTTACTGTGCCTATAGACAGTACACTATTTGGCAATATGGACGTCTTGGCGCTGGCAATCGTAGGGTGATTCCTTCCTGCTGTGTTTGGAGGATTAGAGACAAATACCCTGACCACTTTGGGATTTATGTTGGTTATAAAGAAGCCCCCTTCCGCTGAAACAAACATGCAACTCATGACCAACTCAGAAGTTTGACTTACTTTTATTGTTGTTGCAAACTTTTTGTACATATTTACATAAATAAATCTGTAGTGTTCAACTTTGATTGCCATCAGCCTCTGTTTAGGTATCACATAAGTCCTGTAAAAAACAAAAATTACATTTATGTAATTTTCTTCCACAAAAATGGAGAGGAGATTTGGTTATAATCACTACCTGTCCTCTGCGTTGTTGTGTCTGTACCAGTTCAGCTGTAGGAGGAGGGCTGATCCCGGAGAGAGGACCCAGGGCCCTGGGGTCATCAGCCTGAATGCTTCTTCTTTTTGGGAGTCCCCCAGCAGAGCTGAGGCGCTTCTCCAGGATTCTTGTCTGCAGCTCTGGGATGTAGCCGTAGTCTTTGGTCTCCTTTACAGTGTGAACACTGTAACGCTGCGACTTTTTGTTGTAGACTCGTTTGTGTCTAAAAAAATGAATTTAGACATTAGGAAATTATATAAAGGTATTATGAATATATAAAAGCCACCAAGTTTGACTTACGATACTTGGCCTTTGATGTTCACATGCACTGGGCGATGGTTATGGTGGTTGTAGTCTAATGCAGCGAGGAGTGTCCTAGCTTCATAGACACCAAATGAGAATGCAAAGCGTTTCCCGGCGTACATCAAGATGTGATTTTGGAACGACTCCAGCTCAGCAGTGGTCCTGGGGGAAAAAAACAATGTCTGTAGAAGAAATAAATTCTAACTCAGCGCAATATAATATACTTTGTGGTAGGTATTACAACATTACAGATACTGGAATCAGGGCAATACCAATCTAATGTCCTCATGTGTGTAGTTTACAGATAACAAGAACCAATACTAAAAATGTAGAAACAGCAGTATTTTCATCTAAAATATTAATTTTCAGATAAAATTTCATATTAGTGGTTGTTTATTTGTGTTTTACATTTTATCTAAATCTACTTCAATTGTAGCACCAGGCAGAGAAGACAATAAAACCGGTCTTCTGCTTCATTGCATTGTTTGGTGTGGTATAAGTAACTGTTATGGTACTTGTTATTGGAAAGAACTCAGATCCAAGTGCAGAGATTGTATTAGTTAGAAAAAAGCTGCATTGTTGTTTTCCAATTTTGTTTTACTGTTATTAAGACAATAACTTTACATTTCCACCAAATGTCAGTAATTTACCTAAAGGTGAGCAACTTCTCTATATCCTTTAGCCATCGCTGGTTCAAAACAATCCGTGAAAGCGCCACATGTGCAGCAGATCCATGTGGAATGAGCTCTTTGTCTGGGTTCTCCGCCAAAGGAGCATGAAAGCACCTGCCAAAGCCCCATTCATGCTCTCCAGTCACGTGGTGAAGTACACCCTTCCAGACATCCTAAAAACACACAAAGTAGAAAATACAAACATTTACATCGTCAGTAGAAAAAGATAATGAACCATGGCAGCAAATATAAACAAAAACATTACATTAGTGGACAACTGTATACATGAATACTGTGTTTGTACAAACCATAAACTCTTCTCTGGTGCTTGTGTGCTGACAAGCATACCAAAAATGGTTAACAATGTCCTTGATCCATCCAAGTATAAGCTTTTGACCAGAAATCATTCCAACCTGTTTGAAGGCAAGAAAAACTAGTAATTAAAATAAAGTCTGAACAAGCCAGGATTATTACCATCATAATACATTTTGACATACAGCATGAAGTTTCTTTGTCAGATTTTTTGCGGCGTGCCAGACATCAAGCGAATGGGTAATAGCCTGATCCTTATATCTGCCCCGTTCTGGATCTGGTCAGAAAAAATTAAAAACAGTCTTTTAACAATCTGGTTTCCAATTACCAGTAAAAACTCTGAAGTTTTGTGAAAATCTTACGCATGAGGGCAGCAATTTGTACATGGGCATCAGTCACAATCTCCTTGATGTTCACCTCCTTTGTGAGACTGTCAAATGTCTGCATAAAGGCAGCCTTCTCCATGACCCCACTTTTATAGCCAACCCATCTTTTGTCCACATTGACAACACTGATGATGTCCATGGTGTCTAGATCCATCGTTGTGTATGTACAGCACATTGCTGAGTGACCTTTTTTTAAGAGATACAGAAAATTGTAAAATAACAATGAAAAGAAATATTTCAACTGATCTTAAAATTAAATTTCAAAAAGCTTGTTCGTTACCTGGAGAGTCCATCCTCCCGTCAGCTAAAAAAGAAACACAGAAATATAAGCATGTAATGAATATGAGCCTTTACAAGTAAACATATTTAGTTACCAAGAGCAACCACACGGTCTTTTGACTGCAGTTTCTTTATGATGGCATTCCTCTTCTCCTCCCAAAACTGCTGTATTGATTTTAAACAGTAGGTACCCTGGACTGAGTAGAAGGTTTTGGATGTCACCATGCGGATATTCATGAATCTGAACAGGAGAGCGATCTTGGAGAAGTTGTTCCCTGACAGCAGAATGTTTGTTGACAACATGAAATCTCCTCCTTGCATCCCATATTTCAGCTTTGGCTGGCTGTTCCAACTCCATAATTTATGTCCACGTGGGCAAAACTGTATTAAAATACAAACAAAACCAAAAAAAAGTGAAAATGGCGCTTCACACATATTTCACATTCCTACAGTTGTACTGCTTCCTCATTAACATAAGTGGCAAGCATTAGAACATAAACTCAACCACTCAATTATCAAAGCTGTACCTCTCGGACGTGACTTTACATGAAAAGGAGGATGGCCATCACAATATGTGCCTGTGCTGTGGTCACTGTAGTGGCATTTACTGAGAGGCAGTTGGAGGAAATTGGCCATCTGGAGCAAGCTTTTGCTGTATGCTATGCACGCTTGTTGGTTTATGAGGTCACTTTCAACAAGCACTTGATCGTGTATTGGGAAAACTGGAATGGATGCTGCTGATGGTGCTTCTAAATTCTCTTCCAAATCTGCCTCCACACAATCAGCAATGTCAAATACAGCTTCATCCAGGCCAATGCTAGGAAGTTGGTCAACTTCATCCTGTGAGACACACCTATTGCACAAGATTTTTTTATATATATAATCAGTGAATAGAAAGTGAGAGTGGGGATGTTACTACTTATTTAAAAAATTCAATTATGAAACATACCTTATTGATATTGGAGGTACATAATCTGAGTCATACGGGTCTAAAGCTCCTTCTCCTTCAAACTCTAATCTGGAATTAAATACAGCAGCAAAATATGACAATATATACTGACATATATCATTTCAATGACAATAATTTGTTACTTACAAACTGTTTTCCAAACTATTGGCTCTTTCCTCCTCTAAATAGTCCACTTTCAGCTCCATCGATTTGATGCTTCAAAAACAAACAGAATACATTAATTATGAAAACAGAGGGTATGCATCAAATGATTAAAAGCCCTGCATATTTACCTTTCCTCCAACAATTCTACCTCTTGATCTGCTTTTAGAGGTTCAACTCCTGCGATCTGGAAGTCATCCCTGTTGACAAGTACACAGTATTTATTTTATTTGATGTGGAGAACAATTATCTGACATATGAGTTGCATTTTGTTTACAAGTGAACTTACCTATCAGATTCCCCTGCAGTTACTGAACTGGGGTGACAAGGACCTGCAAACACTGCTGTAGATGGCCCACGTGGTGATGATTTAAGTGGTCCCTTTGATGAAGCGTGCTTCTCATAACTAAAAAAGTAAAGCAACTTTCAATACTCCAGTCATGTGTACACGTTAACAATTGAGATTCTGTTATATAAACAATAGATTTGATTAGCGACGCAGTTTTACAAAGTTTAGACTTCTTTTACACAATTCTAGTACATTACACTAACAATATACTGTAATTTCCGGCCTAAAAGCCACTATTATTTCCCTGTGCTTTGAAGCCTGCAGCAAATATCATGGTGCGGCTCTAAACTTGCAGGCACGTTCACCCGTGTTTAAAATTCGTTTTTGTGAATTAAAACAACAACGAAAAAATTCCGTGTAGCGTCTTTCTGTCTAATTATCTTGTGTTATGGCCAAACATGCGCTGTGCGCCAGCTTGTATTTGGGTGCTGGTGTGTAGAAAACACTATTCTTTTTTTGCTGATGCGGCTGGAAATAGGTAATCTGATGTGTAGACGCTAGACAAGCAGCCTATAAATGTTATGATATACGGAAACCCCCCAGCTTACTTTGAAAGCATCCACAGCCCTTTCCCCACACGTGTTTAGTAATAATTTCTTACCTTTTCAGCAAAAATGATGCCAGCTGCGGGTGTGTTTTCATCCTGAGAGACTTTCTCAGCATTTTCCACTCCTCAAATGCTGGACCGATATTTATCCTCGTTCGTTGCATTCGGCGATCATACTCGAGTTTTGCCCGTTTACCTGCGCTGGAATAAACTCTTCTTGGTTTCTTTGACTTGTTTGGGGTCTGGGCTGGAGTTCCGCTAGTGCTTGAAGCAGCTCTCTTCTTGTTCTTTGCTGAATCCATGCTAGCTAAACCACCTCTCGCTCTGCCGCTAAGCTATCGCTAGTAAACAAACGCTGCGGGGATAGGCCTGAGCGTGAACGCGCATAACGTCATCACGCATTACGCTGCCTCTGGAAGACCCAGGAAGACCCGGGGGAAGCCTGCCTGCTGGACCCGAGCAAAATCTTATTTTTGATTTTAAAGACCTATAGAGACAATCACAGTAAAATGCCAGGGCTCATTCTACAGAACCAGGGCATTGCAGGAGAATGTTTTAAGAAGAAATGTTTTATTTCTATACATGTTCTGGCTGTAAAACTTGCCTATAGTCCCTTTAAGTGCAGCAGAGAAAAGTTCCTAGGCGAGTTTCTGCACGGACGCTGTATTGAGTGACGCATGATGGCTGCACGCACCCGATCTCCGTTTATAAAAATGTGATCTGTAAATTCTGATGAATGCCTTTCAGAGCGGATCAAACCAGCTGGCTGTCGCTGCTACCGTGGAGCCTGTAGAGATGCTGAATGGAGCGTCGCCCCTCCCTCTCTTCTCTCTTCTTCTTGAGGCCCTGTCCACACGTAGCCGGGGATCTGCCAAAACGTAGATATTTTTCTACGTTTTGGCCTGTCATCCACACGAAAACGGATCTTTTTAAAAACTCCGGCCAAAGTGAAGATCTGCGTTTTCTCCGTTTTGGGTGTCTGCGTGTGGACGGACAAAACCGGAGTTCTAAGGTCCGCAACGTCACTTTCCGCGACAAAAAAATTCTGACATCACGTGTGCGACCTGTGTTTACACTAGCCGACAGCATGGATGCCCTCAGAGCTGCGCTCGCTTTATCAATTGTCCAAGCGCTTTTTGCTTGTTTGTTTTTGCAAGCGGAATTACTGCTCCTTGCGGAAGACCACAGACGAAGGACGAGGTTAAGAACGGGGGAAGTACTGCCGCCTACAGGTCTGGCTTGTCCTTAACAACGTATTTATCCGGGTACGTGTGGACAGAGTTTTTTTTTTAAACGAGGTGGTGTGGATGCAAGTTTTTGGAGGGGCGGATATTCATTTTTTAAAAAACCCCGGCTACGTGTGGACTAGGCCTGAAACTTTTTGAAACCAAACACTCACAGAAATGGATGTTTTTCACGTTTTATTTGTTTAGAGGCAATTTTGTGTGTCAAACTTTGAATAAGTATAAAACCTCCTTTTATCATTAACACATAAAATAAACTAAACAAACTAAATATCCTGTCTTCCACTGTTCATAACATCCAGGTTAGAGTTATTTGTGTGTTAATCCGTGTTAGTTGAGCCTATCTTGCTATCATATAACAGTTGTGTACTATGCAAGATGTACTTTAATCTTAAACTGCCACTTAACTTATCCTGTTCTCTATAAAACCATGCGATTTTATCTCATGCCGGTTTGTTTCCAGAACTGTTGTATAATGTTGATTTTACGAAAAACAAACACCTAAAAAACAACAGCATCCAAAGGACAGTATTATCCCAAAGGAAGCACTACCCTTATTTCCTCTGCACCTTCATGATCTACAACAAACTTACCTTCTTTTTTTTTTTTTTTCTTGTTTTGATTTGCAAGAATCAAAGAAATGCACCCAAAAAAAAACTTATTGACCTTTCACAAACCATAAACAGAATTAGCCACATTCTGCTATTCATGTAGAACACACTAGTTCAGGTTTGAAGAGCCTAGGAACTGAGCTGGACCATCTCTAATGTGGTAAAATGTAGAAAAACTAGTCTTTATTTGGCTTTCACAAACCAAATAGTCTCAAATCACACACTGGGTTTTCAGGATGCTGCTATTATGTATCATTACCTGTATTCATGTTGTCCAGATCCATATGGAACAGATGTTTGGTTCAGGTGAAGTACACATGAATCAGTTACAGTTGATCCTGAAGCGGTTTTATTCAGCCATGTTCTGCAAGCAGCTGCAATAGAAGCAGGAGAGCCAATTAAAATTGCACTACACTTGTTATTTAAATAACAACAGTGGTCTCTAGCGAAGCCTTAGAAAGAGAAAGTTGCACCACTCTTTGAACTTGCCAACACGCAGACATGTGGTTCACGTAGCCCTGAATAGTTCCAAACAGCTCAGTGCTGCCAGTCAACATGAGCCAACATGGATGCTATAGCAACTCTTTTCTCATTTCTACAATGATTTCTTTGGTGATTATTGACCAATAATGTGTATTGATTACTATACTGATTATGTATTTTATCAAAGCATTTAACTTTTGGCAGGAACAATAATCAGTTTTACATTTTAGAGGGAAGCCAAACTGCAAACACAACCTAAAAATCATTTAGGATACAGATCACCTTTAGCACAAATAAGTTTAATTGCATAAAATTAAGTGGTTTATATCAGGGATTCTGTGTTCTGCATGCTAGCATAGATGCTATGCTTTTTGTCTTAGACTTTAGATGTCAGTGGTTGAGAGCTCTGCTCCTGCACACCTTCAGATATACTTCCTCTAACAAAGCACAAGAAATTAGTGTTTCCACTATAATCAGTCTGTCTGTTCTCTCTGCCTGCTGTCAGATGGAACAGGAGCTGATCCAAATTCATTTAAAACAAGTTTTTAAAGAGCAAGTCACCCCCTACAAGAAACTTACTTCACTCCCACTTCATGTTTGAAAAATGCAACAAATGCTGTTGCTTGGCAGACCGAGAGGGCGGAGCCGCTAACAAATACACACACACAGGCTCACAATGGCATTATGACATCATAATGTACCAGATGACATCATAGCATACCTCTTAGCCAATAGCGGTGGCAGATTTAAATTCAAATACAGTGCAGAATTTTTCCCTGACGACGGCGCAACACTGACAGTTTTAGGCAGAATATTTGAATTTTAACCAAGATGCACTGAGCTGCCAAATTATTGACTACACGTGTCTGTAGCATGATTAGACACTCCTTTATATAGTTTATCAGCAAAAAAAAAAGTGATTTGGGGGTGACTTGCTCTTTAATGACTTGGAGGAAAACATGTGGCTGTAGATGCACCTCTAACTGTTGCCTCCAGCCTAACTAGTGTAAAATAGTAGCTAATTGATTAAAATATTACTTTAAATTAGGGCTGCACGATATTAGGAAAACCTCAGAATCAGAATCAGAAGAATTTTACTGCCAGCGCTCTAGCGATCCAGAACATAGGAACTTGACTCCACAGTACAGCCTGACCAAGATTACACACACACATATAGACAGGACAGATACAGGCAGACTGCAAGAGCAGCCATAACGGCGCTCAATTCAGTAGATGAAGAGGGGATTACATGAGGAGAGTTTGGGGAGGGAGAAAAAGGCATTAACAGAGCTACACCGGCAGGGTGTAGTAGTAGTAGCAATTCCACCACACAACAAAACTCCATGCTTGAGTTATTCGCCGAGATAAAACATCACCCTTGCAGAAAAGAGTTAGTGGTAAAGTCGCGTTGTTGTTAGCTAATCGGAGGAGAGATATCCAAATAAAAGGAGATAAGACTCCAAATCCTGTCTTCTGAAGCTATTTTCTCCTCCAACTGAATTATCCATGCTGAAACAGGCGCACCGGAGCTTTGTACCTAAACGACTCCTAGAGATCCCTGCAAATGTATTGATTAAATGAGTGTTGAACACATTTAAAGGCTAGTAGGTAGATTTTCAGTTCACAGACAGTCAATTAAAAAAAAAACATAAAAAACAACAACAAAAATAAGCTAGCTTGTTAGTTGGCATTAGGTGGAGCCTGGAAGTAAAACCTCAGAGTAATGTCTGGAGATGAAGCAAAGAGCTAAACCCGAGTCAACATGAGGGAGTTATACGAGGCTATGAAATCACGAAATTATGCTGGCTTTGTTGCTACTGGACTTTTATGTAATATTATATTTCCCCAACAGTGTGGATCGTTTCACTTCAAGGCTAATTTTTTTAGTTGGCTCATGCTAGCATTAGCTCGTTGTTAGCGCAAGCTACAGCATTCATGACAGTTGTAATCCCACTTTCAGCCAGTGAGAACAACAAGCTGGAAACGGTTTAGCGTTCATTAAAATCTGCGTTATGATACACTCACATTGTCTGTATAAATAAAATGTTTATTTAAATCCAACCATAAAAAAACTTACCGGAAAGTTTCTCGCGCAGCTCGGAACAGAATGACAGTGGCGCATGCGCAACACAGTGCTGCGGTACTCTTTGTGGTTTATTTGGGGTCAGCAATCAACGTTAGGTGAGTTATCGCCCCCTACCGATCTAGAGTGTGGAAAGTCGGTCTGCGATGGACTCAAATGCAGGATACAGGCCCCAGACCCCTAGCCTGGCAAGCCAGCCCAGACTACATAAATATATAATTTATATTCAAACATATATAATAGATATTATTCAAACTTAGCAAAGCAGGAATTTGGTCTAGTTTACTGGGCTACAAGACCCCCATAACCATAGCCTGGCCTGCCAGACTCATCCTATGTTTAATTCTGCACAGAGAACTTTAAGGATATCTTCCATCCCATAAGGAAGTATGGGCTGGCTGGTCAGGCTACCACAACCCAGCAAAGACAAGTGGGTATGGATGGATAACAGTAAAAAGATCTTTTAGCAGTTTTCATGTCTAAACTTCTGCAGCAGGCTGACTGACGGGGCGCTTCAGTCTGAACTTGTCTTATTTCTAACGAAAATGAGCAGACATGTTATAAATGTGTAACTTCCAATAATTTTAATACCAGAATCAGCCTAAAAGGACCTAAGTTTTCCTTCAAAAGAGTTTAGAAAGCAGCCACAGGCCGTTCCATCGACTTTGTTAGATTTTGTCGTATCAATCAATCAATCAATCAATCAATCAATCAATCAATCAATCAATCAAAACTTTATTAAACCCAGGGGGAAATTAGAGTTTCAGTACACACAATTCAGAGATCAGACATACATGGGCAAGACACATGACAAGAATTGGTGACTGTGGTCCTTCGCAACACGAGTCGCACTACTTTAATAGATGAAAAGGGAATTACATGAGGATAAATTGGGGGAGGGGAAAAAAGGCTTACCAGAGTTACTCCCGGCAGGGCGTAGCTTTACTATGCAAAAAAAAAAATGCCTCAAACATATAAGCACGAACATCACAGGTCAGAACATGAGACTCCGATAGGGAGGCGGGGTGGGGGGTGGGGGGGGTGTCTGGGATCCTGTTTCCCCAGCGGGAGCAGCCCTGTATGGTGCTCAGCCAACTGTAGCCACAGGTGGGAGGGATATCTTGGGAGGAGCGCAGAGCACATTGATTCCTGCAGGCTGATGACCTTGCTAGGCAGAAGTCCACAATCCGAAGGCGGGGGGGGAGGGGGGGGAGGGGGGGGGGATGTTTCTGCAAAGCAGCTTCATACTTGCCAGACGATTTCAACCTAACTGCTGGGACTCTGAATGGATCCAAATATTAAACACTGCAACATATGACAAGTTATTCAATTTCACGAGAAGAACAACTCAAATAAAAAAAAGAACTCTGATGAAAAACCAGCTCCATTGTAAATGCGTGTTTAGGCCTTTTGAATACATTCAAATGTTAATCTTAATCTACAGACTTCCGCTTCCGGTCGGCAACAAGATGGCGCCTGTGCTTGGCTTAGCCGCAGTCACCGGCCACTTTTTCAAACTTTTCTCCACTAACCTCCTCTTTTCCACCTTGCTCCTGTCTGCGATCCTCTTCAGTAGTGTCCCCGCTACCATCTCCTATGATCGCCAGACTCTTTTGTCCTTCCGTTTGTTCACCATCGCCCAAGATGCACCGAGGACGTACCTCCCTGTTTGTTTACCTGCGTGGCGCGCTGGCCCGGAACCATTTGACGGTCCCGAGCTGCGCACCTCCAGCTGTTTGTCCGGTCCCGGGAAAATGTCGGAGGAAAAGAGGTAAACGAGCAGGAATCCAGGTGAGAATAAGACTTCTCTTAAAGCGTGGTTTATCTAGTAAACATCGGCACGATCTTCTAGCTTCTCTTTGTTTGGTGACCTGAGCGCCACTTCCGCATTCCCGCCAGGCCGCGTTGTGACGCGGTTCATCCGTCCAAGTTTTTTAAGGTTGGTTTTTCCTCATTCCTCAGTGGTTTCTCCTCCTGTTCCCTCCATAAGTGGTTTTTATAAACACCGTGGATCTAACCCTGCTAATTTACGTCCACTAACTCCAGCTGTTTCTGTAGTTTCTGATTCCTCCACCTCACTCAGCATGGCTCTATTAAATACCCGCTCTGTTAACAATAAGTCCTTCCTGCTCAATGATCTAATTCTCTCTAAATGCCTGGATTTTCTGTTTCTGACTGAAGTTTGGCAGCAAACATCTGATTATTCTGGTCTGATTGAACTCTGCCCGAGTGGTTATTCTTTTCTTAGCCAGCCCCGGGGTTCTGGTCGTGGTGGAGGCCTAGCTGTTGTTTTCAGAGACCATCTTCCATGTAGCTCTACAACCTACCACGAGGCTTCAGAAGCTGATGACATGAGCAGCAATTTTGCCGTAACCACGTACCCTGTGGAACCTCTCGTGTAGATCAGGAAATGCCAGGTCCTCGGATGTACTGGAGCTGGAGGAACAGCGGTCGCAGCACTACAAAGCCCGTCCGTGGGTCGACTCCGGTAGCAGTCGGCAGGCGTCAGCAAGTTCACTCTTATTTTGAAGGAACGTCGTCTTGTTGTTCAAACGACGGAAATCTCCAGCTTGACAGTTCTCAGCTTAAAGTAGAAAGTACATCTGGCCAGGCTGTACCTCTCTTTTGCGGTGATGGATCGAGAGCTGGTTGAAAACTACGTTGAGCGTATGATGTAACTCCTTTGGAGCTCAGGTCGAACAGAGCTGAGGTTAAAATGGAACTGAGTATAAAATGGCGTTGCCTTGTTTTATATCCCCTAGTTGTTTACAAATCTTAGTAAACCGGATTGGACAACTTAATTAAACAACCCAGATTCTGACCTACGACAGACGAAAGTTCTGATTGGTTGAAAACAATGTGTCATGCGTTTCCATGGTAATGTAGATCAGTCTGTCTGGTGCAGTCCTGTTTATTCATTAAACACATAACTCATGACATCTTTAATTCACAGATCATTCACCTGATCATTAATGATCAACATATGCTCTGATTAGCTTTATCACGAATAAAGTACTTTGATTAATTAATGGAAAGCGTTCTTCTTCTCTTCTTCTGTCTCTTCCCCTGGAATGTAAACATACTGAAACCAGCATCCGACCTTGGCGATTCCCACACGTTGTTACTGTGTGAAGGGGCAGCTGTTAAAGGCAGACAATAGGATCTTAATAACGCTACAGTCGGGCGTAAGGACCCGTTCTACTGTGCTGTGGTCTATCGTCCACCTGGTCCAAACAGTTCTTTCCTTCAGGAGTTTAGTGACTTTCTATCCTCCACTGTGAAGCTGTCCAGACTGGTGATTGTTGGTGATTTTAACATCCACGTTGATGATCCCTCCGATCACTTTGCCATGAATTTCTCCAGCCTTATGGACTCCTTCAGCTTTACCCAGCATGTTTCTGGCCCCACACACACCAGGGGGCACACTCTAGACCTTGTTTTTACCCTGAGTCTAAATGCTGACAGTGTTTGTCCTGAGGATGTTTATATTTCAGATCACCATTGCATTTTCTTTAACTTGTCAGTTTCTGCATCCCCACCTCCTGCTCACCGTATGGTTAGTTCTCGTTTTCTTAATGAGAGCACAGATAGCAAATTTTTCTGCTGCTTTTGATCCACCCTGTTCTTCTGATAATGACCCTGATTCCTTAACTTCTCAGTTCAACGAGCACTGCCTCTCCATTCTGGACAACATCTGTCCTGTCAGAACCAGATCAGTTCCTGCAGTGAACCCTACTCCCTGGTTTAATGACAGCCTTCGCAGCCTGAAGCACCAATGCAGAAAAATTGAGTGCTTGTGGAAGAAAACCCATCTCCACGTCCATCTGCTGCACCTAAAGGGCGTTCTGTCATCCTTTAACTCTGCAGTCAGAGATGCAAGGGTTTCCCATTTCTCCAACCTGGTGTCCCAGAGCAAAAGGAACCCCAAGGTGCTGTTTAACACCATCAGCAGCATCGTCTCTCCTGCCTCTCCTACAGCCTCCATCCACTCTGTCGCAGGCTGTGAGAACTTTCGGTCTTTCTTTGTGGACAAAGTCAATAAGGTTAGATCTAGCATCTCTCCTTCAGCCTTATTGCTGCCTCTCCCGACTCCAACCAGGCCCATCATCCTAGATAGCTTTGCTCCTGTTTCTTTGCCTGAGTTAACCAAACTAGTTAACTATATGAAGACCTCTGCATGCCCCCTCCACATCTTACCCTCATCTTTGTTTAAAAGTGCTTTTCTGTCCATCTGTCCCAGCGTGCTCTGTATAATTAATGCTTCTCTGGTTTCTGGTCAGGTTCCTGCTTACTTTAAGAACGCTGTAATCCACCCGCTTCTTAAAAAACGAGTCTCGACCCCTCTCTCCATAGCAGCTTCAGACCCATCTCTAAACTTCCGTTCATCTCCAAGATCTTGGAAAAGGTTGTGGCTAAACAACTCACAGCTAATGAACATAACATCTATGATAGCTTCCAGTCAGGTTTTCGTAGAGCTCATTCTACTGAAACAGCTCTTCTTAGGGTCTCTAATGACCTTCTGAATCACAGTGATGCAGGGGACTGTTCTGTTCTGGTCCTGCTGGACCTGACTGCAGCCTTTGACACTGTTGACCATCACCTGCTACTGGAGAGGCTCAGAGACTGGGTAGGCCTATCAGGATCTGCTCTAGAGTGGTTCTCCTCTTATCTCTCCGAGCGCTCCTTTTCTGTGGCCGTCTCCAATTTTAGGTCCTCCACCACCTCCCTTACCCATGGTGTCCCACAAGGTTCTGTGCTGGGGCCTCTGCTCTTCCTCCTCTATCTGCTTCCTCTTCAGCACATCCTGAGCTCCTGCAAAGGAATCTCCTACCATCTTTATGCAGATGACATCCAACTGTACATCTCCTTTAAGCCCCATGAGATGTCTAAGCTGCAGCTGTTACACACCTGCTTAGACTCTATCAAAACCTGGATGGTGGGAACTTTCTACAGCTGAATGAAGATAAGACTGAGATCCTCATCTGTGCCCCAGACAAGCTGGTTCCCAAAGTCAGAGACTCTCTTGGTCAGCTTGCTTCCCACACCAAACCTTCTGTCAGGAATCTTGGCGTGACCTTTGACCCAGCTCTCACCCTGGATTCTCATGTCAGTTCTCTTGTTCGCTCTTCCTTCTTCCATCTCAGGAACATTGCTAAGCTGAGTCCCATTCTGTCCCGCTCTGAACTTGAGACAGTTCTCCACACCTTCAACTCCTCACGCTTAGACTACTGTAACTCTCTTTTCACGTGTCTGAACAGAACCTCCCTGAACCGTCTACAGGTGGTTCAGAATGCCTGTGCTCGGCTTCTGATCAAGTCCTCCAAACACACCCACATCACCCCGCTTCTCCTCCAGCTTCACTGGCTGCCAGTCAACTTCAGGGTTCATTTCAAGATCCTGGTTCTGGTCTACAGGGCCTTACATGGACAAGCACCATCTTACATTGGTGATCTTCTTAGTCCCTACACCCCCAGCAGGTCCCTGAGGTCCAGTGATCAAAGCCTACTGGTTGTGCAGCACCAGGCTAAAGAGCAAAGGTGACAGAACATTTGCTGCTGTGGCCCCCAGACTCTGGACCTCTCTCCCCCTGAGCCTGAGATCAGTGGACTCAGTGGTCTCCTTCAAAAAGCAGCTGAAGACTCACTTGTTCAGGCTTTTGTATGACCTTCAACCCCTCTCTTTATTCTGCTCTCCCCACCAATTCCACCTTCCTCAGGATCCACTGATTTCCATCTTTCCTATTCACTCTCTCTCTTTTAACATTTTTCTTTTAAATCCCAATTGTCTATTTTTGCTCATTTTAAATATATTTTAAACATTTTCTAAATGCTTTATATTTTTACATTTTTTGTTTTGTTTTTGTGAAGCACCTCGTGATTTTTATCGAGAGTGTCATGTCGGAGTTTAGTTTTCTAACCCACATGCAGAATCAGAGCCGGAGACGAAGGTAAGAAAAAAATGTTTTATTAAACAATGACGAGAACGGAGAGTCACTCTCGAGGAAGCTCTGACGTTAAAGGGCAGAATCTGACGGGAGAAAAAGGTCAGGGAGATGAGGAGCTAGTAATGGGAGAGATATTGATGCAAATTGAAACAGTCTTACTTTAGAGAGGAGATCCGTAGATGCTGAGGAGGGAGTGGGTCAGGCCTGAGGTGGAGAGGAGCTGAAGCAGGGTCCAGATCTTGAAGGCGAGTAATGGAGATAATATTTCAAGACGATGAGCGAGGCAGGCGGGGGCTGAGAGCGAGTGGGAGAGCCGGCTGGCAGAGCAGAACGAGACGAGGTAGGTAAAAATCCTTAGGTTATGGCTGGGGAGGTGGTGAGAGTGAATATCTGCTGAGGAAGGTTAGCGATCACTAGAAGTACAAAAAAATCACAAAGAGAGCTCGAGATTTGGTCGTGTACCAAACGAGTTAATCATCCGACGTCGTGTAGGTCTCAGACTGCTCCTTTTATACCAGCCGGTGATTGCAGCTGAATGGCTGCAGACGGGCAGCTCTCCGACAGCGCCCACCTGCAGGAAAGAGGTTAGTCTGGAGAATAATATACCTCAGGCCGTGACAGAGAGGCACTATAGAAATGATATTTTCTTCTTCTTCTTCTTCTTAAATAGCGAACATTGTATTTTTAATGTTTTCACTTTAAACACCGAATATTTATCCTCATGTTTGTTTTGTACAAATACTGAAATAACCGTATTAATTCTGTAAAGTTTATGTTTTATAAAATCAGTTTTCCCTTTAAAATTCAACAAAATCATGAAACTTGTTACACTTTTTTTTTTTACTAATTTCAAATCCAAATCACATGAAATATACACTTTAATTTTTTAAAAAATTTTCTATTCTATGTTTAAAAACAGTGTGTTGATTTCATGCGTCTTCATTGTTGGTGAATAAAACAAACATAATATTAATTGTGAAACAGAGTTTTCCCTCAGACTATGACTGTACCATCATGATATGAGATTGATGCATCCTAAATCGTCCAACTGGTCAGTTGTCATTTAAACATATTTTTGCTAGGCAGGGCCGGATTATCATTGCAGGGGCCCCTGGGCACAATGTGCTTAGCCCCCCCCCCCCCCCCCCCCCCCTCCCAAGCAAATTTAACACGCGATTGTTCATGTCGGCTCATATCCTTTTATGTTTTCTGTCTTTTATTTGTGCCTGATGCGTTTTACTGCTGCGGAGCGATTAACCTGTTTCGTCCTCCGGTGATTTCACCTCACCGGTGCGGCGGGCGCAAACTCCACTATTTTTGCGGTCGGTAGATCTTTTAGAACTACAGTTCAAAGGTAACTCATAAGGTGAATATATATGAACCCAGGTAGCAGTTTTTCTTTAGGATTGAGAGGAGATGCAGGAAGAAAATAAACAGAGACAGAACAGAAAAATAGTCAAATAAAAACAAGTTAGTTTTGTACCTGATGGTTGCAACAAACAGACACCATTGAAGGTAATCAGAAGTGAGGAATAGAAAATTAAATGATTCTTTCATTGTTTAGAGCAGCAGGAACTCTGAGCGGTTGGGGGAGGGGGGAGAGAGCTGAAGCAGGCAGTAAAGATGCAAAAACTACCGTTGTTAAAATAAATGTGTGTTAACTTAGAAAATGTGGGCGCAATTTTAATTACTTCTCAACATTTTAATCCAACGTTACGACTGCTGCTTGCGTGGGCCTCCTTGTGGCTGTGGGCCCCCGGGCCTGTGCCCAGTTTGCCCATTTATAATCCGGCCTTGTAGGTGACAAAGCAGCTGCAGGAGGAGAGGCTGCTTACAGATATTTGCACTCGTTTCTGATGATCACCACCTGCCATGGACATTTCCATCAATTTGACCCCTCCTAAAAATCCAGAGATGTGGAAAACTGAAATAATGAGAATGATTAAACTTGTAGTGAAGTAAAGATGGCAGAAGACGGGTGTGACAGAGGTGAGAAGGGGAGGAGAAGGGAGGAGGTTAACCAGATTGAGGTTGGCTCATACAGAGTTGAACAGCACATGCTTGCTCATGGCGCTTGGCTCAGGTCCAGCACCCTGCAAATGTATATAAGGCAAAAGGTGTAATAGGGGTGAGATGTGGGAAGGATGTGCAGGTGTTGTGCCTAAAAGAGCATGCCTGCCAAGATTTGCTTGCTTAATCGCGAATTGTGAAAGTAAATGATTTAAATTATGAGCAATTTTAGGTTTTAATACATTGATAATGTGAACACTTTTCTAATCTGTGTTCTTCCAAAAACGTGTTTTCACTAGAAATAAGCTCAAATAATGATGAAATAATTTGACAGGTTTATTTAAACATTTTTGAATATTTTTGTGAGTATTTTGCATATTTTTTTCTGCTTGCTAGAACTATTTTGCTGAACAGGAATGTGACTCAAAATTACAAACATTTTCAATTCTATTCAATTCAATACTTTATTTCACTCAAAGTTTAAATATACAAACTTCAAATCAGAATATAAGCATTCGAGTGAAATGGGGGAGGAAGAAGAAAAAATCTTATATGACCTACTCCCTTTAACTAAGACAAGATAAATAACAAAAAGTACAAAATAGCCTTACACACAAAAAATAAACCACTCTCTTACTTCCACAAATAATATCACTACTAAAACATTAATCCTCCATCCTCAACTTACCAAATCATACGTTTTTAGCATTTTATCTTTATACATTTTTTTGAATTGATCAGTAGTTGTACATTTTTTTAATTCATCATCCAGGTTATTCCATAATTTCACACCATATATTGAAATACACATTTGCTTTAATGTAGTACGGACAAATATCCTTTTAAACTCTGGTTTCTTTCTACTCTTATCATTTTTTGGGATTAAAACAAAGAACCTTTGTAGATTAGTTGGCAGCAAATTATTTCTAGCCTTAAACATAATTAGTAAAATTTTCAAGTTAACTAAGTCTTTGAATTTCATAATTTTAGATAGAACAAAATATTTGTTAGTATGTTCTCTTGGATTTGCTTTATATAGAATTCACAAAACTTTCTTCTGTAACAGAAACAAAGGATTAGTGTTTGTTTTATACGTATTGCCCCAAACCTCAATACAATAAGTTAAGTATGGTAAGATAAATGAATAATATAATGTCTGAAGTGTTGAAATTTCTAGAAAACCTTTGACTTTGTTTAAAATTCCAATACTTTTGGATATTTTTTGTTTTATATATTTTATATGGGATTTCCAAGTAAGTTTATGGTCCAAGAGAACCCCTAAGAATCTGACTTCATTTACTCTATCAATTAAAAAACCATCAATAGACAACGTAACTAAAGATGTATTACGATTTATTCAAATAAACCATGATTTATTTTATTTATCTTCCCATAAACCATCATTTTGTACGGAAGGGATTGGATAACAAACATATTAATAATAGTACACATTTATTAGAAGCTGCCTCGTTACTCAAATGCACCTTCTCACAACACGGCACGCATGGAACAGCGCGTGTTCACCCTCCCGGCCGCTAGTTGGCGCCGTAAAGCCTGCAGTTACAACCCCAAAAAGAAGAGCGACCGGAGCGCCGCGGAGCGGAAGCAGTGATGTAAATGTAAACAATGGCGATGAAACTTCGTTCTCGTCCTCAATAACTTGGTGCAAGCTCTTTCCAGAAGCAGAGATGACTTTCTGAGGTCATTGTGACAGCCGGAGCTCCAAAACAAGGTCTGTAGAAAAGCTTTTCTCTAGGCTTCCTGTCTCAGATCTGCTGCTGTCCCCTTGGCCTCTTTCACGCGCTCGTTTTGCTGCCATCAGAAGTTCCCTGGTTTTTTTTTTTCTTTTACCAGACTCGGTCATCTGATGGTCCTGATGCAGAATCGCTGCTCGCTCTTTGATCCATTCTGCTCACACTCTCACGGAAAAGCCCAGAAACATAATCTCTGTTAGCAAAACAGAACGTGCCTCCATCTGCTCCGAATGGATCTGGACAGCATGAATACAGGTAATGAGACACAACCACTAGTGCGCGCGCATGTATGTACACACAGTGATGCACCGATATGAAATTTTTGGGCCAATACCGATATTCGATATCAATATCACTGTTATGGCAGATAACCAATATTTGCCGATACCGATATACTGACATTAATGCTTCTAAAATCATCAGATTTTGCATAGAATCAAAATTATTAGAGCTGAATTTACATTATTATGTACACACACCACACATATTGATGCTTCTGAGATTATTACAATCACTGTCACATGACTAAACAAATATACATCACCCCCCACCCTCTGAAACTGACAAACAAATGGAAACGAGATGGAAAAAATTTTGGTTGTTAATATCGGCCCAGATTTATTTATCGAACCGATCCCGATATGTTAAAAAGTGACTACCATCTGGCGATACCAATATTGATGCTGATATATTATGCATTCCTAATAAATACCTTTAACTTATTTAGAAGGCAATTTTTAAATTAGATTGTATATTCTCTCCCATTCATTTGAACAAATCTTATGTTTATTTTTCATGGTAAAAGACTGAAGTTGGTTCCCTTTCCAATTCAGAAAAGTCCAAAAAATTTGTCCTCTCCCTGAGCTTCTTTAATCTGCTCTTATTATAGAAGATAAAAGGTTTTATTTCATGGGTGATCAATCAGAACTCATAAATAAATTAACTGATTAAAACATCGATCTTTAGTGCTGAATGAGTAATCTGGACCTCAGCTAAAGAGTCTCTCCATTTATAAGTTGTTTTCTGTTCTGAGCTCACTAACTTAAAACAATAGCACAACTTTTATATGTGTGGAAACAGGTTAGTTTGTATTTCACATCACATGTTTCTGTGTTTCCTGGAGGTGTTCAACAGGTGGTGCATGTTACAGAAGAAGCTGCTGAAGAACAGAGTGCTGGACCCAGGACCCAGCAGGACCCAGAACACGTAAAGGAGGAACAGGGAGAACTCTGGACCAGTCCGGAGGGAGAGCAGCTCCATTTGGAGGAGGAGACTGATACAGCCAGGTTTCCATTTACTGGAGTTTCTATAAAGAGTGAGGATGATGAGGAGAAACTTCTGTTCTCAAAGTGTCATCAGCAGCATGATGTTCCAACCAGCAGCTCAACTGTTCAGATGACTGCAGAAACTGTGAGGAACCCAGATCTCAACACTCATGAACGGACATCTGATTCTTCTGAGACTGAAGTTAGTGGAGAGGATGGTGATCTCGGCTCTGAGCTATCGGACCCTGGGTCTGAAACTGGAGATGGAGACAATGGCCGGAAAGAGAGCAGGTCTTCTGGGTCAAATGCTAAGACTGTCAGCAAATCCTTTAGCTGCACTGAGTGTGATGAAAAATTTCTCCACAAGCGATGTCTACAGAAACATGTGAGAGTGACTAGGCATTCAACAATGGGGTCTTCAGTCTGTTTGGTTAATAAGAAATGTGTTAGAGCGAAGCAACACGTAGACTCATGCAGGGATGTCCAGTCAGAAACAAAATTATTTAGTTGTGATGACTGTGGGAAAATATTTAGTGACAAATCAAGTTTAAATAGACACACAAGAGTCCACACAGGATTGAAACCTTTTGCTTGTGAGATCTGTGGACAAAGATTTAGCCAAAAGACACATTTAAACAGGCACGCGACAGTCCACACAGGACAGAAGCCTTTTTCCTGTGATCTCTGTGAACAAAGATTTAGCCAAAAGACATATTTAAACGTCCACATGAGACTCCACACAGGACAAAAACCTTTTGTTTGTGAGTTCTGTGGACAAAGATTTAGCCAAAATACATATTTAAACAGACACATGAGAGTCCACACAGGACAAAAACCTTTTGTCTGTGAGCTCTGTGGGCAAAGATTTAGTCATAGGACTCATTTAAACTGTCACATGAGAGTCCACACAGGACAGAAGCCTTTTGCCTGTGAGCTCTGTGAACAAAGATTTAGCCAGAAGACAAATTTAAATAATCACATGAAAGTCCACACAGGACAGAAGCCCTTTGCTTGTGAGCTCTGTGGACAAAAATTTAGTCTTAAGACAAGTTTAAACAGACACAAGAAAGTCCACACAGGACAGAAGCCTTTTACTTGTGGGGTCTGTGGACAAAGATTTGGCCGAAAACCAAATTTAAACAGACACCTTAGAGTCCACACAGGACAGAAGCCTTTTGCCTGTGAGCTCTGTGGACGAAGATTTAGTCATAGGACAAGTTTAAACCGTCACACGAGAGTCCACACAGGACTCGTTTAACTACGAGTACCAAAATGGACCCTTTCACAATGTCAGTCTTGTACCCATAGTGGCAGTCCCTTAACCCAGATCAGGGCCATTTCCGGCCTGCGGGCCACTACTTCCTGGCCTGTGAGTCACATATTGTGACCCCAAGATGTTATTCTTTCACTGATGCATTTCCATCTGGGTCAGCTCGGCCTAGCCCTGGTAGTGTAACTGTGTTCTGTGTTCTTGGGGAGAGAGTAGCAAGCTGTGTGCCTCATGTTAGTCTCCAAAAGCAACACTGCTCACACTCGATTTGGTTTACTAACTTGTGGCGGTTAGGAAGGACACCACAGACTTCTCCATGCCACTTTTGTCGCATCCATATGCTCGGAGACAAATCTGGCCCCATAGGGATGGGATGACCAGACTGAGCTGACCAACATGTAAACGTGGCTCAAACCTCTGTTTCCATAGAGAGGCAGTGCAGTACCGTATGCATCGCTCATTCTTACACAACGATGAGCTGCTGTCTTTAGGTTTCACTTTTGGGGTGTTGCAGCAGGGGGTGGTTAGCCTTGTGTGTATTCTCTGCTGTTAATTAGTTTGTCGAATGTGGAAATATTTGTTTTTACCAGTAGTTTGCACTTTGGGAGTGGAATATAAAGACAGATCTCTTCAGTTGTTTAGCCAGTGGCTCCACAATTAGCCCTGGCTAACAGATGTGATGTCCCACTTTGTGGAGGACAGTCCTCCATTTCCATAAAATTCCACATGTCCTGCAAACAGTCTCTTGTTATTAATGGACTTCCTTTTTGTGTTTAAAGCTAGCATTTAGCAACTATAAACTATATGAGTGGCAAAAGCAGTGTGGGCCATCCACCAAGCACAAAAAAAAGCTAATTCTGTCCATTAAGAAGTTAAGAAGTAGGAGTAGCCCGCTGCTGCCTGCATCTTCACGCTGATAACACAGTCCCATGTGTGATCCAATGTGTAAACACCGTTCATGGTCTTGTGTCTGCGTCTCCTTATCGTCTTTTGCTGCCCGCACATAAACGGAAGTGAGACCATGAACAGCTGGCGGCTCTGACGAAAGCTGAAGTTCCCGCTGAATCATGTCAGCCGAAGGTAAAGAAACATCCAATTATTTCACCGTGCTAAATAAGAAAAAAGAAGATCAGCAGAAAGCCGAACTGGAGTGACCGTTTGCTGTGACATCATACATCACACTGCAGAGGAATGGCATGCGTGGGTATCGTCCACGAAGGAAGCCTCTCCTAAAGCCCACGCACAAAAAACACACCTAGGATTATAGCTAGAGCCCGTGCTGAAAGAGATGAAGACGGCTGGGACTCTAGACTCTGGAGTGATGAGACAAAGATCACTGTTTTGGAACTAATGGTTTCAAAACTATGACGTAAAGGTGAGGATTTCAAAGAGAAATGCACGGTGCCTACAGTGAAACACGGTGGTGGCGGTGTCCTTGTGTGGGCTGCAGAAGTTCTGCTGGTGTTGGGGAGCCGCGTTTCATTGATGGTATCATGAACTCAACAATGTCCTGCTCTATATTGAAGGAGAAGATGCGGCCATCACTCCGTGCACTTGGTCGTCGTGCACTTTTCAAACACAATGATCCAAAACACACGTCTAAAGCTACTGCTGCATTTCTGAAGAAGAACAGGGTGAAGGTGACTGAATGACCAAGTATGTCTCCTGATCTGAACCCAGTCCAACACCTGTGGGGAATTCTGAAGCAGCAAGTTGAGCATCAGTCTCCATCCAGCATCCAGGCTCTAGAAGAGGTTCTTCTTGAAGAATGGAAACAGATAGATGTTGTCATCTGTCGCCATCTTGTTCATTCCATGACTAGGAGACTGCTGTCCTCGTGGTGGTCATACAAAACACTAGACGTAGTATTTTTTGTGTAGGGTGTATTCATTGTTGCTTCAACCAATTTTAGTAAAACTGAAGATTTTGTGATCTAAGTTATTTTATTAACTTTAATTTTATGTTATGGAGTTAAACACTTGTTCAGTAAAACCATCTTTTTGTTCATTGAACTGCTGATTAAATTTGTACTTTTTAAATGGGGTGTGTACAGTCTATGGGTGTACTCATTTATGCTGAGTCTTGTAATTCAACATTTTTGCGTGTGGACCACAGGAACTGGTGTAGCTCTAAATCTACAACACCCAGACTCTTCAAAGCTGGACTAGATGATTTTACACAAATAGCAAAATCCATATTTGTGATTTGTCAAACCTTTATTTGATTTGTGGAAAAATGTGATTTGCTTTTCTTTCACAAATGTGGGAATTAAGTTCTGTTAAACAGAGCAGGGAAATGTGTCTTGCGGTGTTGGACAGCTCTCTGGGTGTCCAGACCCCCTAAACCTCAGATCCTAGATTCAGACAGAGTTTGAACGCTTCCACCTCAAATATCAGAACGTTGTTACTGAAAGCTTGACAACGGTTTTGAGTCTGGTGATGAAGCTGGAAAGCTTTTTTCACTTCAAGGTAGGACTGTGGCTTCCTCTAAACCTATTCCAACATTAAAGTCCCCATCACCAGATACTCTCACACATCCCATCACACGTTTGCAGAATTCTATGCAGCTCCTTGCACATCATAATGTCCTCGTCCTCCAGATATTGTACTGGACAGTTTTGGATGCCCCCTTCACCTTGGCGGAGGTTCGGGAGCCTATTGACCTTCTGCAATGTATTCAGTCTTGTTTTAAGACTGAATAACTGAGGAAAATGTATCTGTTTCTTCTGGTTCTGGATATTAAAACGGCATATTTTGCATCATCTGGCACACCATGGTCAGATGTTGCTGTGAAGTAGCGCTGCTCAGACTGAAGACATCCACCAACCCTTTCTGTTTGCATAAAGGACACTAGATGGCAGTGTTACTCTGATTTAAACAAATATGAACCGGAGTTTACTGGTGCAGGATGAACTATTCATTCCACCACTGATAAAAAAAATCGAACTTCTTCACTCGAAAAAGGTTAAAGTGATCAAAAGAGTAATGTAGTAGTAGTAGAGTAGTTTAGAATTGCATTAAGTATTGAACAAATATTGTGATATAAACCAATAGAGTAAATGATTTTCTACATGCATCATTCCATTTTGATTTATGAAAATGACAAATGAAGACATAAAAATATCTTTTGGTCTTACTCAAGTGTTCTGTTTTTATTGCCAAGTGTTCTGCTGTGAGGAGAAAAGGAACACAAAAACGTTTATTCTGGTTTATGATGCTGGATTTTTAGCTTTATTAGTGTCACAAGTGAATGTTGTGGAGCTGTGTTGGCTGCAGTATCATGTGGACATCAGGGACAGTTACACTGGATTGGCAGACCGGGCTGGTGGCCCCCTATTTAATAAAGGGGGACCGCAGGGTGCGTTCCAATTATAAGGGGATCACACTCCTGAGCCTCCCTGTTAAAGTCTATCCAGGGGTTCTGGAGAGGAGGGTCAGACCGACTGTTGAACCTCAGATTCAGGAGGCTGCCCTTTGTCACCGATTTTCTTCATAATTTTTATGGACAGGATTTCTAGGAGCAGCCAAGGTGCTGAGGGGATCTGTTTTGGTGGCCTGAGGATCAAGTCTCTGCTTATGCAGATGATGTGGTCCTGTTGGTTACGTTAGAACGTGATCTCCGGCTCTCGCTGGAGCGGTACGCAGCCGAGTTTGAAGCAGCTGGGATGAGAATCAGCTCCTCTAAATCTGAGACCATGGCCTTGAGATGAAAAAGGGTAGAATGCCTTCTCCAGGTCAGGGATGAGGTCCTGCCCCAAGTGGAGGAGTTTAAGTATCTCGGGGTCTTGTTCGCGAGTGAGGGAAAACTGGAGCGTGAGCTCGATAGGCGGATTGGTGCTGCATCTGCAGTGATGCGGGCGTTGTACCGGTCTGTCGTGGTGAAGAGAGAGCTGAGTCAGAAGGCGAAGCTCTCGATTTACCGGTCGATCTACGTTCCTACCCTCACCTATGGTCATGAGCTTTGGGTAGTGACCGAAAGAACGAGATCGCGGATACAAGCGGCCGAAATGAGTTTTCTCCAAAGAGTGGCTGGGCTCTCCCTTAGAGATAGGGTGAGAAGCTTGGGCATCCGAGAGGGGCTCGGAGTAGACCCGCTGCTCCTCCACATCAAGAAGAGCCAGTTGGAGTGGCTCGGGCATCTGGCCAGGATGCCTCCTGAACGCCTCCCTGGTGAGGTTTTCTGGGCACGTCCAACTGGGAGGAGATCCATAGGAAGTCGAAGAAAACGTTGGAGGGACTATGTCTCTCAGCTAGCCAGGGAACACCTTGGGACTCCCCTGGAGAAGCTGGCCCAAGTGGCTGGGGAGAGGGAAGTCTGGGCCTCTCGACTTAGGCTGCTGCCCCCGCGACCCGACACTGGATAAGTAGCAGAAAATGGGTGGATCGATGAAACACCAGGTTCTGGTGGAGATTGGTATTTAGTTATGTTTGCTTTTCTGTTTCTTTACTTTCTTCTGTTTCTTTTCTGTCCGACTTAAATTTTCAGAGATCCACTGGTAAAGCTCATCTTTTGTCCTGAATGTTTTTCATTTGAAAATAATCGTTCTCTCTGTAGTTATGGCATTCTCAGACTGACAAGCAGCAACAGTTTCACTGTTGATTGAGTTTTTTCATGTAAATCTCAGGTTTTGCAGGGTTTTGTGCTCTGAGTTTCAGTCGTGTTTCAATAGAATTATTGTTTCTACCTTAACACCAAGGAGCATGTTTCAGACAAGTCTTTAAATACACTATTAGGTGTCGTGCTTGATCGAGGTATCCACTGGTTACAGATAATGACATCACTGAAACACCACTGAGCTCTGTTTATTTAATATAAACAAATAGTAACAGGGATGACATCACAGCAACACTTGGCTCAAAACTTCAGAACATATGTTCCGTATTCACCAGATGATCCCGGAAGTTAGGACATCCCCCTCAGAGCTGACGAGAGCATCCCCCGTTCCACCCACACACCTCCACAGGAATTGACTGGGCTGTGCTTAGGTCAACCAACACAGCTCTTGGCCAGTAGCTGCTGGTTTCATTCCTCTGACCAGTGAGGGGTCATGGAGCGTCATGCAATCTAAAGCAGACCTGCCACCTGTTCCCACATTTATGCCAGAACCAAAACTGGGACTCGCTAACCAGGATGATATCAGAGATCGCCAAACCCCGTATGAACTATGGTCAGTCCATCAATGTCTTGATTTTATTCAACTCTTAATTTTAATTTATTTCAACATTTTATTTTATTATTATTGCTGTGGGAGGGATGGGAATGAGGGTTATTTTAATCTGTAAAGCGCTTTGAGTTGAATTCCTTGTAGGGAATGTGTTTTAAATTTGTCCTACAAATTTAGTGTCTGTCCATTTTCTTTCACTTATCCCAGGTCATGTAGCTGAATCAACAGTCCAGCAGCTAGAGAGCGGTATCCCTTTTCCCAGTGACATCCCTCAGCCTCGTTTGGGGGTCCTGAGGTGTTCCCAGGCCTGTGAGTTTTTGGTCTTCCACAGGGTATCCTAGGACTGAACCAACTTAAGTGCAGCGGCTCTACTCTCAGCTCCCCCTGGATAATGGAGCTCTTTGCTTCAAGTCGAGACTGACCACAGTGGAGGAAACTCAGTGTGTCCATGGTCTCATTCTTGTGTCTTGTTTTAAATCTCATGACCAATGTTGAGGACTGGAACATGGATAGACAGATTTGCCTTTTGCCGACAAAGCCCCAATCTTTTAGTCCGTTTTTCGTTTCATTCAGC